CTTTGTATTAATCCAAGTTTGTGCTGAGAACAAATCGAGCTGAGCTCGAAATTTCTATCAGAAAAACTGTACACTTTGTTGGATTAATATCCTAGATTATTTTGTGCTAAAATAAGATGCAGAAATTATACCATTTGATATTTTTTATCAATCAACATTTATACCAAGAGCAGGTCGAGTTGCTTTGTATTAATCCAAGTTTGTGCTGAGAGCAAATCGAGCTGAGCTCGAAATTTCTATCGGAAAAACTGTATACTTTGTTGAATTAATATCCTAGATCAGTTTGTGCCAAAATAAGATGCAGAAATTATATCATTTCATCTTTTTTTATCAATCAAAATTTATACCAAGAGCAGGCCGAGTTAAACTCGAAAATTTTTAAGATACAATTTTATTTAAAAAGAACTACAAAGCGTGTGCGCACATTTGTAGGTTTAACCGCAACCAAGATCAGAGCAGGGGCCGCCGCGGCGGCACTGTCAAGGCAGGAGCGATTACTGGCAGAGACGGCGGCGATAATGGACGCGGCACCAACAGATTTGGCGCACTCGGTAGAGGAAGCGCTAATAACGTGCGAGGAGGATTGAAGGGCAAGCAGCCTGGTGGCGGCCTAAGGAAAGTAAACTGGGATCTTTGTACCTTGGAGCCATTGCGCAAAGACTTTTATGTAGAGCATCCCGCGGTCAGGAACAGGTATTGATAGTATTGGTAATTAGCACTAAATACAATATGAGGTAATATGAGATATGCTCACGAATTTAATGCCTTGTTAGATCTATGGAGGAGGTGAATCAGTTTCGCGAGAGGGCGGAGATAACCGTGAAGGGTCGGAACGTTCCCAATCCCGTACAATATTTCGAGGAGGGGAACTTCCCGCCTTACGTAATGGAGGGTATTCGTAGGGAGGGATATTCGCATCCAACCCCAATCCAGGCCCAAGGCTGGCCTATTGCCCTTAGCGGCAGGGATCTCGTTGCGATTGCTCAGACTGGCTCTGGAAAGACACTTGGAGTGAGCAAGATTCAAAGCACGCTCGATATAATACAATAAATACATTAATATCTAACAGATGTGGAATTTTCGAATGTTTGCGTTTCTTGTTCAATTTTATTTAACAGTTGTTCAATTATTCGGTAAATCATTTAAGCAAATTGCAAATGTACTTTATGCAATTTAAGTGAAAATGGATAGATAATATTTTAAAGGTGTGTTTGTACATTTGTGTTAATCTGCTCGATTTTTTTCAGTATATTTTACCCGCAATCGTGCATATCATACAACAGCCGCGCATGAGCTGTGGGGACGGCCCGATTGTCTTGATCTTGGCTCCAACCAGAGAATTAGCTCAACAAATTCAAGAAGTAGCCAACAGTTTTGGAGAGACCGCAGCTGTAAGAAACACGTGCATCTTCGGCGGTGCTCCTAAAGGACCGCAAGCGTACGATTTGGAGAGGGGCATTGAAATATGCATCGCTACACCAGGTAGACTTATAGATTTCTTAGAAAGAGGAACCGCAAACTTGTCTAGGTACGTACGACCCTCTGAAATTTCAACAAGAATCGTCTCTATTGGAGAGTGATTATATAAATTTTTATAATCATTTAAATGTCATTTTAGGTGCACGTATCTAGTACTCGACGAAGCCGATCGCATGTTGGACATGGGATTCGAACCTCAGATACGAAAAATAATCGAGCAGATACGACCCGACAGGCAAGTCCTAATGTGGTCGGCGACGTGGCCTAAAGAAGTTCGCGCGCTCGCGGAGGACTTCCTCACGGATTATGTCCATCTCAATATCGGCGCTCTGACCCTCTCGGCCAATCACAACATCACTCAGATCATCGACGTTTGTCACGAGCACGAGAAGGACTCGAAGCTGTATAGATTGCTTCAAGAGATCGGTACTGAAAAGGAGAACAAGACTATCATATTTGTGGAAACTAAGCGTAAAGTGGACGATATCACGAGAAATATTCGACGCGAGGGCTGGCAAGCTGTGAGTATTCACGGTGACAAAAACCAGCAGGAGAGGGACCATGTGCTGCAAGAATTCCGCAGCGGAAGAGCGCCGATCTTGGTCGCGACTGACGTAGCCGCCAGAGGCTTGGGTACGTAAAGCTCTGTTCGGCTATGCTTTGGTATTGGCGAGACACTAGGAGGGTCACGGTTAAACTGGGTAGTGGCAACACTTATTGGATTAGCCGGTGATGCGTTGTTAAAGTGAGACCAGCCGACAGCTGTGTATGTAGCGGTGTGTGATGCATTGGAACTCTTTACCGTACTTGTCTCGAGTGTATCGTAGAGCCGTGTAAAATTGATAACGTTTCTCGTGTGGTTTATGCCTCTTTACAACTTTTCGTTTTGCAATTAGAACGTATGTGTGTTGAACATTTTCTAATCTCGGTGATCTCTTACGTTTTGTAAACCCACCTTCACCTTGTTTCAATCCCATTAATTTCTTGTGAATAAATCTGTATCTTATTTCATGTAAAAATTATAGAAATAGCCAACGTTCTTACCACTTGAATGTTCGATTTGTGACTGTATCGATTATTTGACTATTAGCTTCAATGTTGAAATGAAGAGTCTTGTTGATTTTGATAATGATGTTTATATAAGAGTAAGGTTCTGAAAAATGCACACAAGCTACCACTAAGTCTGTCTGCTTTTCTTTTTCAGAGGCACAGAGTACCCTAACTCAACGCGGTGTACTGTCAGTATTGGGCAGACACAGTGACTATTTTATTTTTCCTTGCTTATTTATTATAACAATTACCAGATGGAAAGCTAGACTGATATGCGATTTAACTTCCGTTCTAATTTTTCCATCACGAAATAACAAAGTAAATTTTACCATTGATGCATTAATCAGATGGTGTATCAGATAACACTAGATAATCGCAATATACGTTTATTTTACTTGATATCATTTGTCATAATTACAAGATTAAATGAATATCTTTTAAGCAAGGTTTTTATCATACGTGAAGTAACAACCATGAATATGTAAACTCAATTTGCAATTGCAATACGAAAACTCAAACAGGCAATTGTTAAGTTTGTCATTCAGTGCCTCTAACTTTAACTTTACGAAATTATTATGCGGTGCCTATCGAAACTAATGCGCCCAGGCTTAAACCCTAAATTGCTGCCTCTATCCCAAACCAGACACAACCGCTGTGTCTGTCTAATCTCTAGGCCGCCAGTATATTACCATAAGAAAGCAACCAGAATTGCCCCCCCCCTTTAAAAGCAAACGGGGTCGTTCTCGCTGATTTCACGTCGGAATTTCCAAACGAAAGGTGGGTGTTCAAATCTATTTTATCTGGAAATTTTTATATCGATAGTTTCTTGCCAAAATGTTAGTATATTATGTACACGTATCCAATATGTATTCAGTTTACTTGACGCGTAGAGATATATTTTTCCTTTCATTCAGACAACTTGTCGATCAACGTCTGACAGTGTCTATCGATTATGCGTAGATACAAGCATCGACAAGCTTGTCGGTAAAAATATATTCAGTTAAATGAGAACATGATCGATTTAGTTTTCGAGTTCAGAAGGAATTGTTGAAATAACAGATTTTACATATATTCATCAAGGAAGATACGGCCGTTGTGTCCGTTAACATCATTGATAATAATTTTTTTACTATTTCGCAGACGTGGACGATGTGGGATACGTGATAAATTTCGACTATCCGTCTTCGTCGGAGGATTACATACATAGAATCGGTCGAACTGGACGTAAGCGACAGACCGGAACGGCGTATGCCTTTTTCACGACTCACAACATGAAGCATGCCGGTGATTTGATAGAAGTTTTGCGCGAGGCAGGACAGAACGTCAATCCGCGTCTCAGCGAGATGGCAGAGATGGCCAAGGCGGGAAGCTTCGGCGGCAGAAGTATGTTTTCGCACGCAGTCTGATGTCCGTATTTATACGTATACCTTTTTATTCCAATGGCACATGCACACAGTAAACTTCCGTCGCTCTATATGGCAAACGTGAAAGAAGGAGTAGCTTGCTTCACCTCCGATCATGATCGCTAATTAATTGGATTATTTATATATTTCAAATCTGTATCATTATTGCGATAAGGTGGAAAGCGTTTCGGCGGTAATGGCGCTGAAAGGGGCAACGGCCGGAGAAGTAACGACGGTAGAGGAAGAGGCGGCGTTTCGGCAAGAGGGAGAGGGACTTCTCGCAGCGGGACTTCTTATCAGCCTTCCTCGGGCGTTTATTCGGGACCGAATTACAGTAGTTATAATAATATGAAACAAAACGCTTCCCCGAGCCAGAACGCGGCGTACGGGTATAGCACCGGCGTGCAGAGAAGCTACGGACAGGGGAGTAGTATGCCTCAGAATTACGGGGGTGGCGACAATTACGGAAGCGGCTATTCCTACAGAAGCACGACCTATTAATTCCGTTTTTTTTTAATGATTAGTAGCACGTAATGTGTGAACCGACGATGTAAAATGTATTTACTTATAGTGAGATTGGACAAGATGCAAATAAGAGCCTGTTAAAGCTTTAATAGACGAAGAAAGAACGTATAGGTATACAATAAGTTACGTGGCGTAATAGTGAAGATTGTTGTTCTTAAATATATATATATATTTCTGTTTTTCTTTTTAACATCTGTGATGCTTTGACGATTGCCGAAATTTTTAAGAAAAAAAATTGACATGTATTTGTTGCGTGAGTCTGTGTTATAGAATTAATAAAGTTATCTTTCGCTTTCTTCGAAGTAGCCGAGTTCTTTTCCGTGTTCTCAAGAATTAAAACTTGCTGTTTAACGAGTGAGAAGAAATATGGGACAACGTATTTCGCGCAGCGACTCGATTTAGAGATCTACCCGGACAATTTCACGTACAAAAATTCAGACGCATAAAGAAACGTGACAAAATGTCTAATGTAAGAGTGATTGAAGTCTGTACGTTACATGACTACTATCTTTATTTTTCTGGATAAAAATTAATCGGGCTTTCTGGCTTCCGATTGTCAAATTGCTAACGAAACGTGTATAGATCCTACAGTCCCCTATTATGAGATAGCGGAGTTTCCGCTAAATTAATAGGCACCGTCTGTTGGTTCCACCACGAATTTATTGCCCTCGGAGTGAAAGCCGTTCAGTGGCAAATTGGATTATTAGATCGTGTGATCGTCGCGAGAAGAGATTTGTGATTGAATTTGGACGTTGCAAAACCTATCTCGTATTAGAATCTTACAATAGCAGGGGACTTTCTTCTGCGTAACGTTACACAACACGGCCAATTGAATCTTCACTCGTGGGTATCCAAATTCTTCTCTTCCTTTAAGAGAAAATCCTACAGTGATAAAGATATAAAATTATAACGGAGACCGATCTCGGGCGCGCAGTTTGAAATTTGGCGCGCGACTCGCCGCGGTCTAGTTGAGCGGGCGCGCGCGTGGCGGCGCTGCGGCGCTCGTCCGTGCCTAACTTGCAGTTCCGGCGCGGAACGGCCCGCGCCTCCTCGCCGCCGTTTCCCCGGTTTCCCCGTCGACGGGAGTCCCCCCGAGGAGGCGTGCGCGCCCCGCCCGCTCCTCCTCGACTCGCGCGGCGATTTTTCCTCGCGATCGCCGAAGATCGTCGCCCGCGGGGCCGCGACCGCGAGCCGCGGAGGGACTACTTCGCCGGCCGCCATGACACCGTGACGCCGACGGCCCGTCCTCTCGTCCCTTCAGCTGGCTGGCCTGCACGCAGGCGAACGTGTTCTCGTCAACCGGTCCGGATCGCTCCCGACCAGCAGCGGTAATCGCCGAGGAAATCGTACAGAGGACACTCACGCATTCCCGCTCGCTGCAATGTAAGTCCGCGCGAGTCGACGCGGGCCGAATTTCGCCCCCGTCGACGCGCTATTCTCCGCTGAACGTTTCGCTACCAGCGAACGCGCTCGCGATCGTGCGCCATTTTGCGAACGGCGAGGGACTCCTTTGTCGCGCTGGCTCGGCGCGGTCGCGCGAGGACCCGCCGCCGGGATCTCCGCGCGGTGCCGCGACGACGTGCGCGCGGATCGCCGAGCGGAATCGCCGCGTCCCCGCCGTTCCCTCCAGGAGCCGCGGATTCCGCTCGCGCGTCGCGTCGCGTCGCAACGAGGGGGGAAAAAAAATTCTCGACGTGACTTTCTCCCGGGGGCTCGGGCCGCGCGTGGAATCTTCGCGAAAATCTCGCTCGGCGTTCGTCGGCGAGAGGGGCGCGGCGTGTCGCGGATAAGACGCGGCGATAAGAAGCCGCCGAACGGGCGATTAATCGCGATGACGCATAGCTTCGTGGAAAATTGGGGGAGAAGCGGCCGAGTCGCATTACGTAAGTCTGACGTCTTCGTACGATTGTTTTTTGCGATGCCGTTGGCGAGAATCTCCGTGGGCAATTGCGAGAAACTTGCGGGACGCTCTGTCGCGCGGGACGCGCCCGATATTTTATAGATCGGCTCTTCGTGGCCGCGCTGGAACTTTTGCGTTTAACATCGAACGTATAATTAGACGTGGGGAGAACGAGGAAGGTTGAAAGGTTCGGATGACGAATAGAGGGAAATTCCGTTGCGCGGTAGGATCCTAATATGGGACAGCGGGGCTTCCGGTAAATCAATAGGCGCCGTCGGTTGATTCCATCATGAATTTATTGCTCTCGCAGCGACGTCTGCTTGGCGGAGAATTGATTGTTCGATCGTGCAATCGTTGCGAAGAACGGCTTGCGCTTGAACTTGGACGTTGAAAATCTGCTAACTCATAATGGACGACTTTCCTCTATTCGTCCTGCGAAAGTCTCCCGTGTGCCGACAGACCATTGGCTGTTGGAAAAAAACACACTCTCCCTCCCCGACGTTCAATAATCGCGTGTGCCGTAAATACGTAGCGTATCGCGGTCGAGGCGGAATCGTGCGCGCTGATACGTAAGCACGCGAAGCGGTTTAGCAGACAATCGAAAGTAATTTGTGACCTTTCAGCCTCTCGGCGAGCTAATGGTTAAATTGTAGGCCTAATGCCCGTTTGACGCAGATGCAATTTTGATCTCGGTTAAACTTCGGCTTTTTCTAATTTTAGAAATTAGATAAAGAGGCAATTTCATAATAAACTTTCGAGTAAGACCCCTAACTAGAACCAAACAACATGTGAGCAAAGCGCCGATGCGGGTCACGAGGCAAGATGTAGGTAGCCCAACTTGTTATTCTTATATTTAAAAATGTGAATTTATATACCGTTTCTTTCCGCATTTGTTCTGCGCGCTGATTTCTCTTTCGGACACAACGCAGTTTTCTTATCAGTGGAATTATCGTCAGCAAGTTGGCGTACTCAAATCGATAAACGATTCGTAATTATATTTAAAATGCTGCATTTCAGCATTTTTCTGATGCTACATTTAGCATTCAATATCCCCCCCCCCTTCCCCGTGCTGTAAATTATTCCTATTGCGAAAAAGAAATCTGCGCGCAGAACCAATGTGAAAAGAAACGGTATATAAATTCACATTTTTAAATATAGGAGGTAACTTAAGGCGATTTTTCTAGCCTCTCGGTATGTCAACTAATAATTAAATTATCACGAGACACGGTAGTAGATTTGCATAATAAAAGTGCCTTCATTTTTCTCCCACGTGCCCCACGAGTGGAGATATTGCAATGCAAAGTTGTCCGAGTTGCTAAATTCTCGATATCTCGATTACCAAGAAACGTCTTTGTCGTCTTGGTCGTGGGGCCGGTTGTTCCAACCTCTTGATAAGTTAACGAATAGTTAAATCGCACATAGGTCTTTGTTTCTCCTTGAAATTAGGCAAAGGTGGACATAAGATTAAACTATTATTTTACCAAGAGGTTGGAAAAGCCGGCCCTTTGTCCTTTAACTGGACACAAAAGTAGACACAATTTAACTATTAGCTCACCAAGAGGTTGGAGAAATCTCCATCTTTGTCCGCTTGAAGAGAATTTAAACTGAAGCTAGCGGCACACGGTGCTTTTCTGCTTGCTGGTTTGCTCGCGTACATCTTGATCCAAAATGCAATCAGGGTGTCAATTCCGTATCTTACGCTGTAGTGAAAATGCTGAGGCTGAGTAGCTTTGTCTCTAGCCGTCCCGTTGGAAGAAGACAAAGCCGCTCGCTTTTAGCATTCTCACTGTATTGCAAGATACAGAATTGGCCCCCCCGATGCGGTGCTAAAAATCTACTCCTTGCGTCACTTGCATTACAGATGTTTAGCACTGCGAGCACATCTCGACTAGAGTCTCTCTGATCTGGGTGTCGATTCTGTATCTTGCGACATAGTGAAAATGCTAAGAGTGAGCGGCTCTCTCCAAGGGGACAATTAGAAAGAGACAGAGCCACTCACTTTTAGCATTTTCGCTACAGTGTAAGATACAGGATTGACCCACCGAGGCCAGTTTCGGCAAAACTCTACGTACAGCATGCGCGCCGTGTAGAGTGAGAATATATTTCTTTCCCTCGCATCATTTCGCCGAAACTGCCTGTTGGCCAGACTCTTGAGGGACTAATTTCGACCACAGCCGAGCTAACTTGTTCTTCTTTAAAAAATTTTTTTTTTAATAGAAATTTAATGATGGTTTCGGACCTTTGCTTTGTTCGAAAAAGGGCATACGGTGAACGCGACCGTTCCGACAGACGTGGAGGAGGCGGAGGTGCACGCGGCGGCGGCGGACGCTTCGGCGGCCGCGACGGCGGGGGAGGCGGCAGTAGATTCAGCAGCAGCGCGAACCGCGACGGCGGCTTCGGGGGCAACAACTTCAAGAACCGACAGCCGGGCGAGCGTCTACGCAAACCGCGATGGGATATGAGCACTCTACCGCAGTTCCGGAAGGACTTCTATCAACCGCACCCGAACGTGATGGCGCGAAGTATTCACGCTGTGGAGGCATATCGTTCCAACAAGGAGATCACCGTGAAAGGGACCAACCTACCTGGGCCCAACATCTACTTCGAGGAGGGCGGTTTCCCGGACTACGTGCTGAACGAGATCCGCAGACAGGGATTCGGCGAGCCGACCGCGATCCAGGCGCAGGGCTGGCCGATCGCCCTGTCTGGCCGGGACATGGTCGGCATCGCGCAGACGGGCTCGGGCAAGACGCTGGCGTACATCCTGCCGGCGATCGTGCACATAAATCACCAGCCTCGACTCAGCCGGAATGACGGCCCGATCGCGCTGATCCTGGCGCCGACGCGCGAGCTGGCGCAGCAGATCCAGCAGGTCGCGTCCGACTTCGGTATGTCTTCTCAGGTACGGAACACTTGCATCTTCGGTGGCGCGCCGAAGGGGCCCCAGGCACGCGACCTCGAGCGCGGAGTAGAGATCTGCATCGCAACGCCAGGGCGTCTGATAGACTTCCTGGAGCGCGGCACCACGAATCTACGTAGGTGTACATATCTAGTGCTCGACGAGGCCGATAGGATGCTCGACATGGGCTTTGAGCCGCAAATTAGGAAAATTGTAGAACAAATACGCCCGGACCGTCAGACTCTCATGTGGTCGGCCACGTGGCCGAAGGAAGTGCGTAACCTCGCGGAGGAGTTTCTAACGGACTACATACAGATCAACATTGGCTCCCTGCAACTGGCCGCCAATCACAATATCCTGCAGATCGTCGACGTGTGCGAGGAGTACGAGAAGGAGAGTAAACTCATGAAGCTGCTGGAAGAGATCTCGAACGAGTCGGAGAATAAGACTATAATATTTGTGGAAACTAAAAGAAAGGTCGATGATATAACAAGAGCCATTAATAGATACGGATGGCAAGCGATTGGTATTCACGGAGACAAAAGCCAGCAGGAGAGAGATTATGTATTGAACCGTGAGTGCTATTGCTATGGTTTTCCAAGTAACGCGCGAGACAAACGTTCCTTTTTACTCGAATGTCATTGGAAATTTTCCTATCTTTGGTCGGCCGCGTTCAAACGAGTGAAAAGATACTAAATTTCTTACAAATAACTGTCAAGTATCTTGCAATATTCTCTATACTTGTCGAAAGAGGATAAGAGTAGAGTTAACTTTCCGCGTTCGTTTTGCATCTTGAATGTATCGCGTCGTATTGTTATTCGTAATACAAGAGACGTTGTTTTAGAGTTCCGGAATAGCAGGTCTGCCATCCTAGTGGCTACCGACGTGGCGGCGCGAGGTCTAGGTAAGAATCCGCAGATATATAGGTATGATGTAAGGGTCAGGCTGCGATGGTTATTTCACATTTGTGAAAGTCGTGGTATTGTAATGTGGCAACGGATAACGGCATGTGCCAGACTGATTGACATTACCTCCTTACCAGTGTGGCTGGAGATAATTTAATTACTCTTAAGGAACTCCACAGGAAACGACTAGTTACATATTTCCCCCCCCCACCCACCCCATTTGATTTTACCATTGACACACACCATATACACGTACACACCTTCCGTTTCGTTAATTTTTTTTTTTTACGCTAATTCTTTCGTTTCGCCCACTAATTAAGCGAGAGTTTTCGGTAAGCGCGCGTCGCAGAGCGCACCAATTAACATCGCCATTGTCTTTTCAGCGGTACGATTAATGAATAAGTTCTAATCGTTTCGTTAACTTCTTCTAAGCCTTAACTTCTTTTATCATAGACTAGTGCGTAAGTGGATTTTGACGTTCTTCTAAGGCCGCTCGCGTGTTTTATTTTTGCACGGGAAACGATTACGCCGAGTGAATCTCGAGCGACGCTGTAGACGGCCGTCGATATTAGAAAGAACGTCAAAATATTTCAGCTTTAAGAGTGAGGGAGCCAGGTAAGCGATTAGCCAGGCTTATCTCTTCCGATTTTGTACTCTCAGATCGAAACAAGTCCTGTCAGTCTGGTATTAACGTGCTGTTCTATGTGTTTTCAGAGGCACATGCGACTCTGGAGTCTTAGAACTCTGCAACTAGCTTTGGAAAATGTAATTGAACGGGGCGTGACTGCTGGTCGCCGCCCCCTCGCAACAAGCTAACCAAACGCTGTGCCTCGGCCACCTTGCCACTCGAAAAACACTCTCACTCTGTACCTGCGACGGTCCAAAGTATGGAAATCGTAGTGTTAGGGCGTTTAGCATCAGGACGAAAAAGAAAAGAACAAAATGGATAAATATTGCCGGTTCACACATTCGCTAGATTGAGATAGCAAATTGCATCAAGTCGCGCTCTGCATTAATTGTGATATCGTTTTAAATAATTGTCAGTAACCGCGTCTCGCCTCGCAGACGTTTTCAGAACAATTTTCACAACATTCCGAGAGTTTCACGTTCAATATGTATGTCGCTTGTGAATTGTCAAAGATTCTATAATGTTGGGGCGAACAATCTGATGTAATGTTCACAATTGAGTGACGTCAAAGCAGGAGGGAGTTCTTCACAATATTGCGGCGCGTAGTTCTTGATGCTAATTATTTGACGGGGAAGTACATGTGGGGGTTGAGTGGAGAACGCAAGGTGCTCACTTGGTGTTCCAACCTCTTCACCGAAGCAATGTACAAGGACCAAATTTCGAAATAGCCAGCACAGATCCATACTTTGGTGCGGGAGAGAAGGGTGTAACGTTGACTAAGAAATAAAAATGTAGAGCTCGCTAAATACGTGAAGCGAGAATTCCATGAGAACCATCTGAGCTCTGATTCCTCTACATTTCCAAAAAATGTATTTACCATTTCCAGCTCTAGCTCGCAAACAGGTAATTACATGCAGACTTGCTCTTTGTGGTCAACTTAAATGTTGTATGCGAATTGCAAATGGAACTAAAGCTACTTTGCTTGCACTTCGGGATGATATTTTCTATTGTACATGAGGTAACTTTTGTGTCTGTGTCCGTCCTTCGTATCCAAGTGTACCGTCTCAAATTGTCAAGCGCGTTAGCGGCACGTTAAAGAGGAGAAGAGTGGATAGTTGAATTGTTTGTTTGTTTTTTTTTCCTACATCTTGCAAATGCTTCAAGGTTTGGAACGCTCGATAGTGGTAACCTACGATCAGATTCTTTAATTCCATTAGCAAGGGCAGCGTCCTGGTAAAATGCTTGAATCTATTCGCTTTATAAGAGTTAATTGAACCACAAAGAAACAAGTATTTTCCGTGTGCCGCAATTATAATGTAACGTATCTCGCAGATGTCGAGGATGTCAAATTTGTGATAAACTTGGACTATCCATCCAACTCTGAGGACTATGTGCACCGTATTGGACGTACTGGTCGCTCGCAGCGTACAGGAACCGCGTACGCCTTTTTCACGCCCGGCAATGCCCACAAGGCTAGTGACTTAATCCAAGTTCTGGAAGAGGCCAAGCAAGTTGTCAATCCGAAACTGTACGATTTGTCCAGAAATCCCGGCGTTTATAAGAGTGAGTGTTTGTTCACTATTTTTTTTGTTCACATTGAGATTTAAAGAAGATACTCTTGAAATTTACATCTAAATAGGGAGAAAATGTTGACCCTATTGCTGTTCATTATTAGGAGGATTATTAATGATTAATGATTAGGAGGACGATATGGTGGACGCAGCGGAGGTGGTGGCGGACGAGGCTCCGGAGGCCGTGGCGGTTCACGAGGCACCCGCGGAGGCCGCGACACAGGAGACAGAGGGAGATTCGACCGCTCTTCCGGCACTGGCGCGAGCGATCGCGGCAACAAATGGTCCGGAAGCAGTAGCGGTGGGTTCTCGTCATTTAGAAAGTTGATTGTGTAATCTCGTTCGATTAGTTCTCGCTTGGAAATGGAAAAAAAAGACAATGTTACCGCAAATATTCTAAATCAGTAAAGTATCAGTAACTGATGCAATCAAGTCTCCACACGTATTCTTAGCCCTTCTGTTCTCTCCACCTCCCTACCTCTCTCACGGTAATTCACTGTCGTCAGACATTGTGACACGTTCGATAGCGATAAGATTTGGTAAGAGAGAAAATTATTGTGTCTTGTGTAAACGCCTGCTGTACGCTTCACGTAGGTGGCATAGGCGGGGCTAGCTATGGAAGCAGTAAATCATTCCCCCAAAACAGCTTCGGGAGCGGAACCTCCGGCGGTGGCTCCAGTAGCTACAGCCAGAACAGTAGCGGGTACGGCGGCGGCAGCGGCTATCGGCAGCAAAACGGCTATTGACTACAAATGAACGGTTAAACGTGGGTATTGTACAACATAACAAGAGAAAAAGAGAGCGAAAGAAGTGGATAGATAATCTTATTTAGATAGGAATTTATCTAAATAAGAGAGAATCGAGTCCAAGGACGACATTTTCCCTGTCTCTACATATCTTTCTCGTTTGTAACAGAACACTCCCGTCTGCGTTCCAGAGGGATTAATAGCGGTATCGACGCTTGATATGAGCCGACGAGCCCAGAGTTGCGGAGAATCGTTCCAAACAATTTGCACTTACATTCTCACGAGCATACGACTCCTTTTTCTTTTCTAGTACACATCGACTTTTTCATTAGCTTTAAGTAATATTATAACGATATCAATTACGCAAGTCACATGTGTTACATTTAGGATAGCTCCTTAATATATTCAGGCGGTCAATGATATGTCACATGATTGTCGCCGAGCGATATAGTATTACCATTCGATTGGCTTGCCGCTGTACATTCGATAATAAATAGTGCAAGGGTGACACTATAAAAAGCTGAAACGTGGCATTACTCTATGTAAAGTTTGCTTTCTCTCCAACGTTTCTTCGACGCAGTGTGTGCGTATTTATTTTTTATTCTTTACGTGCGTATTTATTTCTGTAATATTATCGGTATCGTTACACGTAGCGATAATAATTTTTTTATTTATATCTGTATAATCGCAATCTTTTTATTTCGATCATAAACACATTTTCAGATATCCCTGTAATGTGTGTCAAATCGCCAATGTGTAAACGTGTGTGCTCGGACGACCGGCATTCGATCGATGCGTTAACGCGACACATTTTGGCAAGTTACGTTATGTATTAAGATACAGCTGGCTGAGAGCTACGAATGCCGTCGCACAGACACGCGTATACACATGCTAATATTAGATTTACTACGAAATGTCCTATCTGCAGACGCTCGAGATAATTTCATTTAAACCGCTATCGATAACAATTAATCTTCGTCGAGTGTCAAGGAAGACCGTCTGCTTCATTCATTGGTCGATCCGCTTTATCGAGAATCATACGATCCGGTCCGGAATTTGCCCCTTTACTCAAATGAAAACATTTACTCCACCGCGATTTATCGGCGTTGGAATAAAATATTTGTTATGTCTATGATTAATGTACCGCCTGCTTATTCCACGATAATCGAGCTTCTCGGCTTCTTACCAATTCAATTGTCCACATTGTCGTTACAGAATGTACATGTATTTATGGCGATGCTGTAATAAGTTATTGGAATGTGTAGAATGCCGCTGCTTCTTTGTCACGCAATGACACTTCAACACGGCAGAATATAATAAAAAGAATCGTTTCGTATAAAATTAACGAGAGGTAATAAGATTACTGCTGTCTAGTATAATTTCATTTATACGCTTTTCCGCATATTTATGAAACTCCACAACGTTTGTATCTTCGTGTCTGCTACGTTACAACGATGGCACACTTGGGGGCCCCGGTTTCACCAAATGTCGCTTAACTTTAATCTCAGTTTAATTCACGTTCGTCTCTTTCTAAGGCAACAGCTGGAAAGAGACGGAGAACGAATTAAGCCAAGCTTAAAGTTGAGCGACGTCGGCGAAACCGGACCGCAGGCCCGTGTTTTTAATCTTTTTTTATCGATAAAAATTGGCTCGCAGCCAATCGGAAGGCTTATTAATCACTTTCAGAGGCGCTTTTATTGATAAAAGGGTTCAGAATACGGGCCAGTGTGTCGTAGACTAACGATAATCGACGGCGAATTGATATAATTTTCCAATTACGGTGGATACGTGGATTATGACTAAGCGCTAATCGTGCGAACCGCTTCTTCGTTAATCGCCGTTAAAACAAAGAGGTTTCGTGTATCGTAATAAGCGCGCGTGTATTAACCGGGCAGAGAGGAAGCGCGGGATTAATATTTGTAGTCGCAATTATGCGCGTCTAGCGTGACTGAGAAATTGTGCGTCAATCGTGTTCGCTAAGAGCTCCGAGCCTAGAAGATACATTTAAACGCGGAGATTTACTCTCGAGACTAATGGCAAACGACATGATGCAATTTCTATCTAACGTTGAGCGTTGGATGAGCTAGCAGTTGATACGCTCCGCTTACTCACGGGATGATGATCGTAATTGCTGCACGCTTTAATTTGCTAAAATCGGATTTTTTCGTTTCGCAAGGTATATTTCAAAATGCTAACGAATGCAATTTGCCGTTTCGTTTTGGGCCACAACTGCCTCGTTCTGTACGCGTAAAAAGATATACAAGGGCAATTGTGTAAGAATCTGAAGGCGTTATTCCTGTCGTGAAAACGCACCGAGATCTATCTTAGGAACGCGCGACCGCCGAATACTTGAAAAAAAATGTTCCCTTTCGAAGGGTCGACACGGACTCCGCGTGTCTCTCCCGCGTCTCGGCGCCTCTGGAAAAAGAGATTCGCCATTTGGAAACGTGAATCGATACCGAGACGTTTGGAGACGTGAATCGAGGCCGAGAAAACCGGTCGTGATTTCGTTCGATACCCGAGAAAGAGAGGAGACTTCCCGGGCTGTTCAAGGGCCGTTTTCGCGCGCGCGACGTGGAGGAGGTCTCGAGCTCTCCCCCTCCCCGGGGGTTACGTCAGCGCGATCCCCGCGATCCCTACTCGGCGACGACGGCGTAGTCGCGAGGGCGCGGGACGCGGCGGGATTTTAAAGGCGACGTGCGAGGCGGCGACGCGCGCAGTCGGCTTCGCGACGGGCTCGGTGGCGGACGTTCGCACGTGCGCGAGCGGGTGCTCTCTCTCTCTCTCTTTCTTCCTCTAGCGCTCTCTCTCTCTCTCTCCCTCTGCCCTTTCGCCCCTCTACCGACGATCAGCCCACACAGTCGTCGGACGTCACTCGCGATAGGAAGAGGCGGCAGTCAGTGATATCAAGGATACCCGGCTGCGTCCGTCATGACGGAGGAGGCTCGCAAGGAGGTTCGCGTCTGGTGCGACGGATGGTGAGCGACGACGTTTAGCGGATACTCTCGGGCGCGCCGGGGAGACCGTCGGGGAGGCGGCGAGCGACGCCGGAGCGGCTCCGCCGCGGAGTCGCCCGTCCGTCGGCCCGAACCGACCGACGCGGCACACGTGCCGTGCCGTGCCGCGCGAGTCGCGTCGCCCGCCTCTCGGGCGCGCGATCAATCGATATTAACGCGCCGCTCGTACGTGTCCGACCAACCCTTCTTCCGCTGACGCGAGTAAAATCGCGAGGAAGGCGAGTCCCCGGAGAGCGAGGGAGCGAGAGAAACCCCCCCTCTCTCTCTCTCTCTCGCTCTGTCTCGCGCGCGCGCGCGCGCGCGGTTCTCCGCGTTGATTTTTGCGCCGATCGCGAGCGAAGTATGTCGTTGAATTGCAGATTCCCGGTCGATTGTTATATTTTGGTAATTTTGTCACTTTGAGGGCCGTTTGAAAAGTTCTCGGGAGTGGCGTGCGACTGGCGGCTCGCGCGACGTGACACGTCAAATGGAAAGTTCCGACCTTTCTATGAACACGTCGAGTGTTCCGATTCATTTCCGTCAAATGGATTCGTTCTTCACAGAGTCAGTCAGCTATGTCGTTCGAGCGACATAGCTGATCTTTTAAATATAAACCTGAAGCCGCGATCGACCCTTCATCTCGCGAGGAGGGCCCTGTCGGCGATGGATACTCGTATTGATACGCGAGAGGAACGAACAAGCCCTTAAGGCCAATGTCCACGATGCTAGAACTTGGTCCAAGTTCTAGTTTCGAGAAATGTGTACCCAATCAACCTGCAGCTATTCTTTCTCGGTATTAGAATTTGGACACAGTTCTTGGATCGTGGACACAAGGCTTTAAGGGCAGCTTTTACGGAATCGCTGCAAGTTGATTGGCCACACGTTTCTCGCAACTAGAACTTGGACCTAGTTCTAGCATCGTGGACGCAGGCCCTTAAAGCCTTGCGTCCAAGTTCTAGTTCCACGAGACGTGGAGCCAATCGTCTTGCGGCTTTTCCGTAAAAGCGCCGAGCCCTAAAGCCCAATGTCCACGATGCCAGAACTTGGTCCAAGTTCTGGCACCGTGGACACAGGCCTTAAGAAATTGACCCAATTACAGTCGAAAACAGGAAGAACATCGGACTGTGACGGGCCAATTTTAGGACTCAGGGCTAAAATCACCTATCGTAGACTGGGAGACTTGAACCGACCATCGTCCGTTCGGCGATCTATAAAAATTGTACCGCTCGACGTGTTCGCCTCGTAGAAGGGTCGGAACTTTCCGTTTACCTCGTCCCTAGAACTTTTCGAGCGGCCCTCGTGCTTCGCACTCGTATCGCCGTTCTACCGCGAGGTGGATTCAATTGAAACACGCGCGCTCCGAAATCGCGCTCCGTGATTGGCGACAGAGAATCTCGTCGGCGCCGCGACACGATTCGGAGCGTGCGTGTCCTCGTTTTAAACGCTCCGATAATAAAATGATACGCGGCAGAGACCGGTCCTCGCCGGCCTAGAGCCGAATTCCAGCCCTTGTCCCCCCTCCCCCCCCTCCGCCTTGCCCCCTGTCGTCCTTCGCCACGCGACCACGCCGTTTCGAACGCTTGCGTATTTTTTTTTGTCGGAGAAAAATACGCAGTCGGCAACCTCCGTGGCAGTTTTATGGGTCTTTCGCTTTTCTTCCAACTAATGTCCATTTCTACCGATGTTTCTACCAACGCAGTCTAACTTTAATCTCGGCTCAGCTTACTTTGCATCCTTTTCTCCCGAGGGGGAAACCGCTGAGGGCATTGTGGTGTACATACTTGTGGCATTACTGGGCATTACTAGGACATTTTTTGGGCATTACGTCTTTCTGGGGCATTATAAAGATAAAATAAGATAAAATAAGGTACAGTAAGATAAAATAAGATAAAACAAGATAAATACGATAAAAGAAGATAATAAGATAAAGTAATGCCCACTGGGCATTAGTGGGCATTGGTGTACAAGATTTTGGTCAGCGGTTTCCCCCTCGTTTTCTACCTAGTAGCACCAATACATTGGCCCGCAATATTGGGAGATAGCGTAAGTCCAGTATTGCCAATATTGGCCCAATATTGTAAGATCGACGCCTTCTCTTATTTAGCCAATACTGTATCCGTGTTAAACCAATATTCTCTTTACATTGTTAGATATTGGCCACTGCATTTCCAATATAAATCTAATATTATATAATTGTTACACAGCTGGAAAATTTGTGTTTTCTTGCTAAAATTTTTGTGTTAAATGTTCAGCACATTCATGTGTTAATTTAACATATTGCTCTTGTGTTGATTGACTTCAAATGTAAAATTATTAAAATAACTGAAAGGAAATGTTAAAACAACACAATGTGTACTTATCTTTTAATCTTACACAAAACATATGTGCTATATTATTAGTAATAAGATTTATCTGTTAAAATTTACAGAATAAAATGTTGATTTTATTCTATACAACATAAGTGAGAGTAAAATGTAAAACTTACATTTTTTAAATTCATTTTGTCATTAAAAATATGTTAATTTTACACCAATTTATTTTGAGATCTGCATTTATCTTGTGTTAAAATATTAACAGAGTATTAGTGTGATCATTTAACATATCCATATTAAGTTGAATTAACTGTAAAATTTGTATGGACCGTTTGGGACATGTGATATCTGTTGAATTTAACACAAATTTTTCAACTGTGCATTCTGCAATATTTTATACATTTATTCCATGGCCAATATTGGCTTTACGTTGGACAATATCGGCCAATCCATTTCTAAAGGCTTGTGTCCTCGATGCTAGAACTTTGTCCAAGTTTTAGTTCCGAGAAACGTGTGGACAATCAACTTGCAGCTACCCCATGAAAGCTGCAAGTTGATTGTCCACACATTTCTCTAAACTAGAACTTGGACCAAGTTTCAGCATCGTGGACACAGGCCTTAATATAACCAACATTGAGCCAATGTTCAGACAATGTTGAGCCACTGTACTGTGCTACTATGGTTAGTTTTACGAATTAGTAAAAGACAAGAAGAAATGGAAAACGAGATTAAAGTTAATCTACATTGATAGAAACGGGCACGAGATAGATTAACGTTAATCTCGGTTTAACTTGCTTGCTATCTTTCTCAAAGTTTTAGAACGAAAAGGATGAAACAATGAACGGAGGATAAAAATTGATCTGCACCGATAGAAGTGGATTTTCGTCATTTGCGTTTTTGGGATAGAAATAAATCGCACACCTTCGTCTATCGACGGCGAACGAGTCGTTCGAGACGACGATCGATTAGCGATGGAGAACGATATAGCTGGAGGCGCGGCGAAACATGATCGCAATTCCGTACGCGATGCGTTCACGATTTACCGCCTCTCTTTTTTTTCCTTCTTTTTTTTACGATGGCGCAAGACCCTCGGAATGCGGCACCTTGATTGTAGCTCACGTATATACTTTTTATCAATTATGCGCGATTTAAAATTAGCGTTGTCACGTTGATGAACGAACGTGACGCAAGATGAGCTCGTCAAATTGTAGCTCCGAATCGATTTCAATCTTCTTTCGAATACATTAATACTAATTGTACTCCTTCGACCGCTACCCCCTCTTCCCCTCAGTTTCGAATCATCGTCGTATACTTGACAATCCCGAACATATTTCGCGATTACGACGCGTGTTTCCCTGTTTAAAATATTAGATGGAGTTTGATCTGATTACATTAGATTACGTGCAATTTCAATGTAGCTAAATAAGAGTCTTATTAATTTACATAGAAAGTATTAGATAGAATAGATAGAATCTGATCAGATTACATTAGATTACATGCGATTACATGCAATTTCAATGCAGCTAAATAAGTGTCTTATTAATTTACGTTGAAAATATTAGATAGAATAGATAGAATCTGATCAGATTACATTAGATTACATGCAATTTCAACGTAGATAAATAAGAGTCTTATTAATTTACATTGAAATTATATGCAATTTAATGTAATCTGATCAGATTCCATCTGTATTATTTTAAACGGGGTTCGAAAAAACAATGATATGTAATTTGTAAACGATCTACACTGGCCAGTGTTAAAAAAAATTAGTAGTTTTTTTAAATAAAAACATTGGCCAGTGTAGGTCGATTAAAAATTACACATCATTGGTTTTAAACTACTGGCGATATTAAACCTGTTTGAGGGTTCTCAAAACTGTATTTGTCCCAGCACATTTTTGCCCGTTGTTGAATATTAATTTTCGCGCGGGCCACGGAAGCTTGTACGCGCGCAGATGCGTATTTCAATGTGTTATCGTGCGATTTATATTTCGCCTTATCGCACGATTGATATAATAATTATCAGAGCTACGTTGCACTCCAAGGCTACTTTACATGCCTCTGTTGACGGACCACTTCTCGAAATCCTTATCGAATCATTAAATTACATTCGTTATTAATAATCATATCCATTAGATATTTTCACGCGGAAATTGTTTTTTTATTTAATTTCGTCTCGTACACTGATGAAAAAATTATTTTAAACTAACAAAGTAGATTTACTTCAAATTATTTTTTTTACTAAAGTAAATATTTATTCTATGTAAATAAAAATATCAAATGTCAAGTAAATCTGTGTATTTTATATTAAGTAAATTAATTTAAATCGTTACATTTTCTACATTCAACTAAAGATTTCATGAAATAGAGAATCCTATTTATTAAATAAAATCATTGTTTTTGTCAAATAAGAAATTCAATTTTCTTCGCTGTAAAACTTGTATCTTAGTAAACGTTTTATCGAATTAAAGTAAATTTTTTAAATTTAAAATTATCTGCTATTTCATATTTAATAAATATAATACTTAAATTAAGGAAATGCATGTTTTAATTTGTTTATTATTATTATAAATTTAAGTTAATAAGCTATTAGAAGCCACCTAATAAATAATTTTCTTGAATAAAGTATTTTGGATTGACATATTTTTTTTTATCAGTGTACACTGAGAAAAATTTCCATTGGATAAATCGATCAAGTACTTAGCGTTTCCGATGGAAAATTAACCATCGGCTTCTCCGATTAAATTTTCCGATTAAATTGCGGATATATTCGATAAAATTTATCCAATGAAAGTACAGTCACCGATGAAATTTAATCGAAAAACCGATTATATTTTTCGTCGGATATACAATTTAATTGAATATATCCGTTTGTCAATTATTGTCAATTAACTATTCGATTAGGCCAGGATATTTTTCTCAGTGTACGGGCGGGAAAACCCTCTCGGTTTTCTCGAATTGTGTGCCGCGCGCACACGATTTGCAGATTTTAGTTGAATATTATTGGAACGCGACACGCCGAGGGTGTCTACAGACCCACTCAAATATGCATTTCCCCGTCTATTATTGCTTACGTATTTACGGTGAAACTAATATTTAGTCCTTCATTCCGATCAAACAATTTGGACAGTGTTATTTTGCAAAGATTTCCAGTTTTTCGATAATGTAAATAAATAACGAAGGCTCGAATTTGTAGTCCAGTTTATAAATCCAAGCCCACGGCTCTGGATTTTTGTTAACATCGCAAACGATGGTCTCTCGATACAACTCTACGCTCGGAGCTCTTACATATTTGCAATTTTTAATTATTGTTCAGTTTTAACTTTTGACATTTATGTTGGCAGTAAAAAAAATTTTTTTTACAGTTTTCAACGATTGACCTTTCCTTATCGAGTGAACACTGCAGTTCGCGAGTTGGCAATTTTATGATAAATACGTAATGCGAGCTGTGCGGATTTGCGAGCGTATCTCTCGTCGGTTTTTACAGCGAAATAACTTTTCATTCCACCGCGCCGAAGATGACCTAGTTGCAAACCGAAACGTTTGCCGAGTTTTAATTTTACTAAAGTATTATTAGTGTTACGACACGAACACCCTGTACGGTGACCTTGTTCACAGGCTTCTATACCGAACTTCTTGAAATAATTCTTCTCGCGAGTCGAGACAATTTTTCTGACACGTTTTGTTCTCTTGTTCCGACGACACCAAGTAAATACAAACGAAATGTCGATTGCAGTTATGACATGGTGCACTTTGGACACGCGAACTCCTTGAGGCAGGCGAAGGCTTTGGGCAACTACCTGGTTGTAGGTGTCCACAACGATGAGGAAATCACGAGACACAAGGGCCCGCCCGTCTTCACCGAGCAAGAAAGGTACGTTGCTTCGTTGAAGGAAATTATGTAAGCCGTAATGACCGGCCGCGACTTGGATTGTCATCCAGAGTTTGTTATTATGTGTTAATCAATCTTTCAAATTCCACGCATTTAGTCCCTCGAGACTCGCAACGCCTGTAGCGTAGCGGATGCACGTGTTTCCCGCTTCTCGTGCAATACACGGTTTTTTTTCTTTTTTTTCTTAGAGACTAGACACGGAAGATTACATAATGACGGTAAAACACTCCGATTCTAGCACATTGTAACATGCTTGGTCATTACGAGGGAGATGTTGTGCGAGTTCTCCATATTCATCATCGTTTGGATGTAAATTATTAATATATTCCAAAGCTACGATCGTGTCAGGCTCGGCGGAGAAGGTCTCGCTAGAGCCTTGACATTTTAGGTCAATACTTGCGTAGGGAAAAAAACACCCGAGCGGCCAAGGAACGCAATGTATCGTTGCCGCGGAGCAAGAACCGCTATCTTGTCAGCCGCGGTTTACATAAGTTACTTTCCCCGGTACTAATTACAGATTATCTTTCCGGATTACGTCGATGCGGATATAACGATTTTGCATCAAATTTTTACGGCGAGACTTAAAATCGCTACAGTTTTTGCGAACAACCGCTCAAGTACGTCGATAAAATAACGACGACGATTGCGTATAACTTTTATCAATCACGGGCGTAACCGACTCTGAATTTCCTTCTTCTCAGGTACAAAATGGTGCGCGGCATTAAATGGGTGGACGAGGTGGTCGAAGCTGCGCCTTATGTCACAACGTTAGAAACATTAGACAAATACAACTGTGATTTCTGTGTTCACGGCGACGATATCACAATGACGGCTGACGGCGTGGACACGTATCATTTGGTCAAGGCAGCCGGTCGCTACAGGTAATTTCCTTAAAAGAGAAACCAACATTATTACTCTGTTCATTTCGAAGATCGTACCGTCTTTTGCTAACCTGGCTATATATATATATTTCAGAGAGGTCCAGCGTACAGCCGGCGTCTCGACGACCGACCTCGTGGGACGAATGTTGCTGATGACGCGGCAACACTTTCGGCAGGGTGACAACGAGTACAGCGTCGACAGAGAGCCGAGCAAGAGCATGGGTCAGGACCGGACCGCCCGGAGCCCGTGGACCGGCTGCTCGCAATTTCTGCCGACGACGCAGAAAATCATTCAGTTCAGCGACGGCAAGAGCCCGCAGCCGGGCGACAAGATCGTGTACGTGGCGGGCGCGTTCGATCTCTTCCACGTGGGCCACTTGGACTTCTTGGAAGTCGCCAAGAAGGAGGGAGACTACCTCATCGTCGGTTTACACACCGATCCCGCCGTTAATCGATACAAATGCGGCAATCATCCTATCATGAACCTACACGAACGTGTTCTCAGTGTACTAGCGTGTAAGGTGAGCCTCTTTTTGCGCCGACCCGACATTTTTAATGAGTACCTGCGTGAATCAATTGTTTAAAATAAACGTTACGGAAGAGCGGAAAAATACGGATTGGTACACACGAACTTACTCGGTGTATCAGTATAGATGCAATCTGCGTAGTCTTCGGAAGCCTGCGTTGCATATTATCGAGCGAAAAGAAAAACTTATAAGTCACGCCACCGTTTGAGATGACAGAGTTACATCACATCAAGTTCTTATGCATTGTATTCTCTTCTTTGCAGTATGTTAATGAAGTTGTAATCGGCGCGCCGTACGCAGTGACGAGAAATCTGATGGAACATTTCAACGTATCTGTCGTGTGTCACGGGCAGACGCCTATAATGCCTTGCGAGGATGGATCGGATCCATACGCGGAGCCCAAGAAGCAAAATAAATTTAAATTGTTAGATAGCGGTAATGACATGACGACGGAAAAAATTGTTGAGAGGATCATTCTCCACAGGTATGTTCCATCTTCACAGGCCTGCTATGCATGTGTACTTTCTTTGTCAGACTTTCTAAGAACAATATCTTCTGGTCCTTCAGTCCGTAGAAGATTTCCGATGATAGTTTACACGTAATCACGATTCTTTAGTTATGAAATTCTTGAGTAAATTAATTACATGAACATTTTGGATATAAACGATGCTTTCAATTTGCTCAAGTAGAAGACACATACGTGTTTGTAAAAATTATTTATATGTTATTCACATTTATCCCAATGCAGCACTCATGTCTAAAAGACGTCTTAAAGATGTCTTTTAGAGACATACGTATTGTTTGGGACGGTACACTTAAATATGTTACAATTATTTGAGAGAATAATACAGTAACTGTTCGCGTTGTTATTCAAAGAACAATATGCGATTTAAAAAAAAGATTGATTTCCGTTTCGACTTTTGTGAAACTGAAGATAATTCTGATACGCTCCTCTACGTTCCGTTCCTATACGTGCCTATAATAAAATTGCTGCTGCAAAACATGTTTAATTACGCCGAAAAATTAAAGAAAAAAATTAAGTATTAATTTTTCATATTCTGCTTTTTATCCCCCCAGGCCGAACGAGCTTTATACGGTTATTAAGACTTTCAGCAAATGTTGATAATTAAAGTCTGGTTGTTTTGTATTCTCTATTCAATTATTGAGCAATCGTTGATGGGACAGACCTGGCAGTTCTGTATTTTCTATCCAATTTGCAATAAACGCATATTTACTTACGTCTCATTATAATTTGTTGTCATTCATTCATTTACTGCTTCTGATGGGATATGTAATTTCGTTCATCTTGCAAAGTGTTTTCTTGAGTTTCATTTTGCTCCATTCTCTCATTTACCGCGATATATCGTGTACAGTAGCCTCTTTCAATGATAACACACATTCACATATCCCAACGACTGCGAGCATTCCTATCACGTGTTGATCTAGCGTCTAATTGCAGGTTGGAATACGAGGGTAGAAATTTAAGGAAGGAGAAAAAAGAGCTTGCCGCTTACGAAGCCTTCATCAAGTCTAAGAAAAATGACAGGATCGAATAATTGTTCGTTTTTATTTTCCCTCCGCGAACATTCGCGGTGTATACGTGTGATGATCAGATTTTATAAAATCAACGTGTAAATACGACGTCACACCGACACTCAATTTATCGTTTCAAAATGCCTTACATAGTTGAAATAAATATTTATAATCGATCAATCAGTATGCTAGAGATGTCGATTAGCGATGTGGAAGTCCGCGCTAGTTTTAATTTCTTGCAATATCACTACGGACGTTGGTGCACAACGACGACGATTGTGAAATCAGGCGACCATTTTATATGCAAGGTGTGCCAGGACTATTGTCGTCCGCTCGATACATTTTTATCAGTTTTAATTTTTATCAGTAAAAACGTATTTAGGTTTGCAAATGGAAATTTATGTCTTAACTGATCATAGTGAATTTTTCAGGAAGATTATCTGTTGTGAACTCAATAGAGTTTCAAAGCGACTTTGCCAACCAAATTTGACGCGATATAAAATCCAGAAGTTATTAATCAATATATTTTATGTAATTATTGTGTAATAATATAATTATATAATATAGTATGAGATATTATGTAAGTAAATATAACAATTAATTTTTAAACATTTCTAAACAGCCAGACGAAGTTTATTGAATTGTACCGCGTTTCAAAGCTAATTTCAGCTAATTTTGTTCAGCAGTAGCTAAAGTAACTTCGGGTTTATTTCTAGTCACACGCCTGGAACATAGTCCTGGAACATCCTACATATATCTCACATATCTCTAAAGACAAGAGTCGTCTTAAAGGTATATCGTATGTTACAAAGCCTTTGGACGTAGGTATGTTTAGCAATTGTTCTTTCACGATGTTCACATTATGTCGTTGCTTGACTCAAATATCGAAAATAATCACAATTACGTATAAGCAATCATGTAAGACGCGCTGTAGAAACGAAGATTGAATATTTTTCAAGTCGAGCTGTTGAATTTCAACTATTTTTCGCTATTATTCTCTTTCCTCGTGCGATAATCTTCGCATCGCCTTATCATTACGTCATTTATATCTTTTTCGTATACGTTAGAGCATTTGTTATTTGTTCGATTGGAGTTTCGATACTTTTAAGCAAATTTTACGGACATTATGACTTGAATTTTACTGAAATAACGCGTTCGGTCTTGAAAGAAATCCTCATTGTGCAATACAAAATGTATGGTTTTCTTATATTAACATATTTAACTAGCGAAGACACATCGGCACACGCGCAATCACGTTCCGAGTATTCCGAGTAGTCCTTCATCTGGGAATTATCGAATAGTCGAGAATGGCAGGTAAAGGAGCTAGACTCGTGATTCGGTCTAATTAATCGGAAGTTCCTAAGCATTTACAAATGCCTATCGCATGTTTCTTAGCGATACCGTGGTCGTTGCTAGACGGCGATACTTACGGCCGAGCCTGGGCGGTTCGTAAGACCCGGCCGGGTAGTTAATTCAACTTTTACGACAAGCACTGTTCATTGAATAAATTATGACGCGTAATTTAAGTGTTAGATTTTCTAATGCGAGATATTAGAGTATCGTATGCCCAAAAAATATCAACGGAGCCAAAGAAGTTAGATTTATGGCGCACGTCGTATAGACTGAACGAGAAACCGAGTTACCGTTTATCTCCGAACTTGGAACTGTTTGCGAACTATGGGGAAGTGACAGGGAAGATACGTCGAATATTCGTTGCCGCACGCGAAGATATGTTTAAGGATATTCCAGATAAACTATCAGAGCTCTCCTCGTTAGACATTAAATCGCGAGGACCGGCAACTGTCCGTCGAGCTTTCACCGAAGTAAGGATCGACGGTCGAGTCGACGGGCGGACTGCGACTGAACGAAAAATCGGGGACATCCTATGTAACGCAAACAGGTTCTTCGACCTGATAACATAGTGGCGATGGCATTAGCGCCGATAAACTTGTGTAGCGACAGTTGAACTAGATTACACCGGAAGAAAGAAACATTGTACAGTTGGTGATTTTCTACAGAAAGAGTCGACACCAAACAAAAATTGTAGCACGCAAAAACAAAGATTGTTTAACCTTTTATTTTATAATAAATAGTCATTGTACACGGTCACATCTACAATAGTCGTAAGTAATGTTGTGTTACGCTTCTTAGTTACTTTCATGGATCGATTATCGTGTCCTCAGTATCGCGCGTTGTGCTGTTTCGCGATTGGTTTTATTCTCTTTCTCTCTCTCTCTCTC